TCTGTAAGCACACACAGACCTCCAAATTAATGGCTGTTGCTTACATTAGTAGGTATTAAATAAACATTCATGTATAATAGGGAAATAATTTATCTTCCATATTTGTAACTTCAGTGTCTTCTCTTCCTTCAGTTCAAAAGAGAACTATTGTAGCAGGCAAATTAAACGGTAGGTAAAAGTCTGCTTTATCAGCAAGAGTCCAGTCACCAACATTTTTCCATGGAGCACATTAAAAATCAGAAAAAAATCTAGATTCAGGACTTACTTCCTCTCTTCAGCATTGTGAAATTATAAAAAGGAAACTGGACATTTGCATGGACCGCTGTCAAGCAACATAAAAGGTTTTCGTGGCAGCCATATCAAAACTCAGGAGAAATGCCTGTGTGAAGACTTGGAGCTACAAATGGCAGAGGGGTCTCCCAGTTACTATGGATAAAGTCAACAGCACGAGAGCCTCGCACTCAGCAAGAGGAGTATCAGGGCTGCTCGGGCTGGAAGGTTTGGCTGCTCCTCTGAACTTCCAGAAGTCATTGGTCAGCTGAGCCTTGGGGAGAAAAGTGAGGCTGCCAGGAAAAGCACTGACTTGAATCTATGCGTGGAAGATGAGTGTCCACTGAGACGCACTTACTGAGGGGAAGGCAGATCACAGGCAAACCCAAAACCAACTTCAATTTAGGCAGTTAAGGCGATCTGACAGCATCTCCCAACAAACTTAACATCAGCCCTTACGCTCCCACCTCGACCTCTGTGGAAAGCTCACCCTAAGCTGTAATGCACGTCAAAAACATGACCACCACCACCACCAAGAAAAGACCTTGGGGCTTGCAAGAGGAAGAGCCCTCCAGGAAAGTCATGAGAAGTTACTTCTTAAGGTAGAAGATGGGCAAATTATCTTTTAGGTGGAAGACCAACTGTGTATGTTTCTAACAGATACTGATACCTAAACTATACTGGTGCCCACTTTTCTCAATGATGAGTTTTACAATCGTTTTTTCCATCACGGACCTTCAGGTCCACTCCACCTCTTTGTTTGGAAGGTGTTGTTGAGCAGACCAAGCTCCCACTACCCAAGAAGCGTGCCTGCTTCCAAGGAACAGAGTTCAGACCCAGCGTGCACGTGCTGTGCTACTTCAACCAGCTAAACATGCTCGGACACTTCACGACGCTAAGGTCATCTTTCACATCGCAGCATTCAGAGGCCAACCAAAGTTTAGGCATCTGGAAACCTTTGCCTGCTTTGCTGCATCAGCCCACGGCAACAACTGCCATTCAAAACATTTTAATCTTTACTTAGTGTAAAAAGGAAGAATAAGTATCTGAAGAAGAAATCATGTTGCATTTCACCAAAACCCCTTAGTCACTTTAATTATTACAGGGGAAAAAAAGTCTCATAAAGGCAAAAAGCTGTATATCATCACCTTTTCAGCAATAGTACAGATGGTAAAGCTATCCTGAAAAAGCAAATGGCTCTGAGATACTTTCTTTTTGGTAAAAGGAGTAAGAAACAACACAAAAAGAGGAGCAGCAACAGAAAATGCTGTTTGCGTCTGGTGATGATTCCTTCTTGCATATGAGACAAATACTAAGGGAAGTTTTATTAGCCAACCCCTTATCTGACCATTTTTTAAATCAGTAATATTCTGAGAAGAGCATTTGCTTGTAACCATCTGCTGGTCACTGCCACTGCCATGGAACAATAAGCACTAGATGCTTACTGGACAGAAAACAAGAAGAGAGGTAAAGAAGAAAACGGGGTTGGAAAGGAAAAAGGACAAAATAAAAGAGCAACCAGAGAGACAGAGCCTCTTCTCCACCTGGCTAAGGCAACACCATTTAGATCCCTCTGGATGGCCGAGGGTCTGCTCAGGCCCCAAACAACCAATGTCACAGGCAATGTAACTTTTACCAATGTCACCATCTCGGAAGGGTGACCTAACATTGATTCAGGCCCAGGCACTGCACACATTCTTTATTTGTAATGCTGAAGTTGGCTAGAAAAACACTGTGTTTACTGATCCAGGTTCACTATCCTGACACCAATGGTAACTCATTAACAAACTCTTTATGAGAGGTTTTGCAAACATGACAGGCTCACAACATGCACCCAGAGTTTTGCCAGAAGAGGAGTTGCAGCTTATTAAGGATACACTGGTGTACAAGACTGCAGAGAGAGTGTGCATATCGTGCAACCTTCACCATCACTTTTTTTTTAACCAATGTACTCTTCCTCTTTTTCACCTGTTTACTTACACCACTTTTCTTGTTTCCCCATGTTTCTTTTTTTATAGGAAGATGTCTGAACTGCTAAATGCCCAAGCTTAGGCCATCATCAGCACATCTCACTAGCTCACTCTCCATCAGAAAAGTTTACCAATCTGACAGGTAACATTCGATTCCTTTTAAAATGTGTTTTACCATGAGGACAACCTTATGACAACACCACACTGAAGTTCATTGTTAGTTCATGCACCTGCACTGCACATCAATGGTAGCAAAGAGAAAACCGAGGTTTGGAACTTCAGTGAGCAGCATCTCCCACCTGAACCAGTCCTTACACACTACCACTGACCACTGAATATGATATTTTCATGGCTTCATTCTTTTCACGTGTTGCAAAGCGTCTTGAAATGATTAGAACTCAATCTCCTACTGACAAATTTGTGAGATTTCCTGATCACATAGCACGCTATGCTCCAGTTTACAACAACTTTCACAGCTTTGTAATCTGTCGTTGTTAGTATTCCCTCCTATCTCAGCAAACAGGCTCAACGCTACAACTTTCTGTGTAGGGACTTGGAAATAAACACAAATGACATCTGCAAGTCAGCAGGTATTGTATACACTAAGGTACCTCTCCAGATTGCAGGGAGACATCTCTTTCACATTGAGCCAATATCTTAGTTATGAACCCTATCTTAATTATGAACCCCATTCTCTTCCCCACTGACTCTTGACTAAAAGACAGCCCAGATATAAGAGCTGTTGACATGTAAAATTAACAAACAAAAAGAGCAAGGTGCTGCATTCTGCACAATTTTATGTTTGACCAAAACACATTGCTTTGGCTATGCAAAAATAAACAAATTATTTCTACTTTTTCTATTTCTCTACCTTAATTTGTCACAAGCAAAGAAACAGTAATTTCTTTCCAAGTAGGAAACTGGCAATGCACAAACAAACACAAGGGTCTACTAAGCAACACCTACAACGATAACTTACCCAGATTTATTTTTTAATGCAGTCAACTCTAAGTTACAAAACAAACATTCCCTTTGTTTTATCAATACACCCTAGAGACATGTGCCTCAATCTCAACAAGAGGCAAGACTAACAAGACCCCCAAGTATAAGCATACATTCCAAAGTAATTCAAAGGGGCTACTCGCAAGTACACTGAAATTCCCTCTGAGCACTACGATGCGGTGCAGCAATGCTGCTTTCTGTACTATGAGTACAGCAGGTCTGACAGGAACGCAGACCTCTAAGCCTGCGATGACAAACCCAGATGTATGCATACTGGTACCAAACCCATCGCATGGCTATGATCATAACTGGAGAATCTAAAGAAGCCACAGTATGTCAATTACCTAACTTCTGACCCCTGCATTCTTCTAAATGATGAAACCAAAAATCCAGTGTTCATATTAAATCTGTCCATTCCTACACTTACTCTTTCATCCACCAGCCAAGAAGCAGCTTTTAGTTCATTTTTATGAGACAAAAAAAAAAAAAATCACAAGAGTGAACTGTGAAGTTTGCTGTCCTTCCACAGCTGGCAGCAGCAGAAAGGAGGTGGCCCAAGCCCTCAGGGTACAAACATTGTCTTCCAGGGGTTACAGGAAGTGTCAGAAGGGAAAGCAATTTAGTTTGGCCAAGGACATGATATCCAAGTGACACGTTTATGTAAGATTTGATTCCATGCTTATGAGTACATATCGATTAGACAAAGAGAGCCTTGTGCAATCGTTCGAAACCAGTGTCCCCAGCACAACAGGACAATAATCACTGGCAACGTTCTTCAGATTGAGTTCAAAGCCGTGGCGTTAGGGGGAAGGGGGCTCGAGCCGCCCTGCCCGCCTGTCCCTCATTTTTCCTTCACACGAGGCACCGGGCGGTGTGGCCGGGCCCGGGGCTGTTCCCGCGGGGCAGCCGCAGGCGGGCGGGGAGCGGCAGCGGGCGGGAGGCGAGGCCGGGCCGCGCTGCGGGACCCGCGCGGGGCCGGCAGCGGGAGCGGGAGCGGGGCCGTGCCCGGTGCATTGTGGGAGCGGCGCGGGGGAGCCCCGCAGCCCTCAGCGCTCAGCCCGCCGCCGGCCGCCCCGCGGAGCCCCCCCCGCAACTTCAGCGGCCGCAGGGCGCGCCGGGGGCGGGCGGCGGCGGCTCCGAGCCGCCCCCCCGGCCGGGCCGGGGCCCCGCGGAGCCCAGCGCCGCCGCTTCAGCACCGCGCTCCGGGACAGCGCCCGCGGCTCGCGGCTGCCGGCCCCGCGGCTCGCCCCCGGCCCTCCCCCGCGCGGCGCGGCGCAGGGGGCGCCTCCTCCCGCAGGCAGCGGCGCCGCCCCCGGCCCGCAGCGCCCGGCCGCGCCGCCCCGAGGCCTCGGCTCCCTGCGCAGCGCCGGCAGCGCGGCGGGAGAACGGGAGAACCCCCCCGGCCCCGGCCCCGGCCCCGGCCCGGGCGCGGAGCCGCGGCCGCTCCCCCCCCCCCTTCCCCCGGTGGCGGCGGCGGCGCTACCTGTGAGGACGCCGACGCGGATCTGGTGGTCGTGGTTGGTCAGGACCATGCCCTCGGCCGCCATGTTGCCCGGCGCAGCCACCGCACTGACGGGCGGGCGGGCGGCCGCCGGGGGGAGGGGGCGCGCGCGCGGCACCGGCGCGAGCGCAGAGAGGGGGCGGGGCGGGGCCGCGGAGGGAGGGGCGGGGACAGCGCCGGCACCGCGCGCGCGGGGCAGGGGCGGGGGGAGGGGAGGGAGGGAGGGAGCGGCGCCCAGGCAGCAACAATCGAGCGCCGAGCGCGGCGGGGATGGGAGGGGAGAGGAGGGGAGAGGGAGGGGCCGGGCTGGGCCGTGCTGCAGCCAAAGCAAAGCCCGCCCGGCTCCGGCGGGTCTGAAATGAGCCCAAGCACAAGCGGGAGGCGCGAGGTTTCGCGGCTTCCTGCAGGGCAGCCTCACGCCCTGCACTAAAGCAGCAGAGTCCGTGCAGCCGCTGGGTTTGTCGCTCCCCCGGGCAGTAGGGAGAGGGGCAGGGTTAAGGCTCCACGGGCAGCACTCCCGTGTAGTACTGCCCGTGGGATGCGTGGGGGTGTTTCTGTGTGGGGAGGTTGGATTAAGGCAATGGCATGGTCCGAGCTTACAGATGTGGCACAAGGCTGACCAAGCAGAAGCTGAAAGCAATGCGAGTGCTTTCTGTTACTGTGGTGTGAGAGTCCTTGTCAGTCGGACTGTCAGTATCATGGCACATCCACAGTCGCTCACGAGAAGGCTGTGAACAGGCTGATTTTCTGCAGCCAAGTTTTCATCTGAATAAGGAAACGAGTTTGCCTGCGAAAGAAGCCTTTTTACTACAGGTAAGCAGATGTTCTGGGACATGTTCTGGGTCATAGCAGGGCTCATGTTGGCTCTCCAGAGAAAAAAACAACTTTTCCTCATCAAAGCCAATGTGCAGCTGGTGGTCACGTTTTGCCCTGGTCAACTATAGCGCAACTTGGTAACCTCTCTGGAAATATTTGACGTTACTTTGTCTGCCAGTTGTTAATGACCAATCTCTGCCCATTACCAAAGCACCGCCCTTTCATTAAGCCGTCTCTTTCAGCCACGTTTGTTCCATGTCTACTGGCTGACACAGCAGGCTTTCTTATTTTATCACAAACACCATAGGGTGGCATATTTTGATGACTTGTTTGGATGAAACGGTTTGACTGTGCAAGACAAACCATTCTGTTACATATAGAAATCATGAAACAAAAGCAGAGGCCAGTATGATGCCATTTTCTTCTGTTGATTCAAGTGTGGGCAATGATACCTTACGAGCTGACTGAAAGTTATCAGAGCAAGATGCTCAATATTTAGAATAGATGTACAATATTTCTGCCCAGAGAAGCTGTGGATGTCCCATCCCTGGAGGTGTTCAAGGCCAGGTTGGATGGGGCTTGGAGCAACCTGGTCTGATGGGTGTCATCCCTGTTCAGGGCAGGGTGGTTGGAACTGGTTTGGAACCCAACCCGTTCTATGATTCAATGGTTTCTCTCATTTTATTGTCAGACAGGTGTGGTTTTATGTTTTTGGGCTTCACTGGATTTGGTTTGGTTATGTTTTGGTTTGGTTTGCTCCTCAAATTTAATTTCTTAACACTTATTATTTTCCATTTTGACTTGGTTGGCTAGCTGGATCAGCAGTGGGACACAGCTACTCGACTGTATGCCATTGGTACAGATCCAGCTGAAGTCATGAAACGCTGGCTTAATGAATCATTAATGGAATTCAGAACATTTTATTTCTATGCCACTGGTGCAAATCCAAGCAAGGTCAAGAGACTAGCTGGCTCAGTGGTTCAATAATAGGAAACAGACTTCTAGTCAAGCTTATTGATGCCAGTCTACAAAGAGTTGGGAAACTAAGTTTTGAGACAGTAAAATATGAAGCTTTTTCAATCTTTAAAGTCAGTCTATTATACATGATTACTTTCTGATGTGCTTTAATAGCCTGTATTGATCTATATTGTTTTAAAGGATATGTTTTCTCTATATCCACTGATACAGCACAATGTTCATCACTCTAAAAGAAGAAGGTACAAGAGATGATCTCTCCAAACAATGCCTTCCCTTAGGCATGTATCTGGGGGAAAAGACGGGATATGCATCGCATTTAAGCTATGTAAGACTAGCAAACTATCTGTACGCCTTCACAGACCGTGCTGCCATGTCCGTGAGTCATCCTTGCAACACCCTCCTTGCCAGAGGCCTCCTGAGAACTTTATAGGTTTATACCCCCGGCAGGAGCAGGAGCCCAGCTCCAGCAACTGTCCCAACCATTGGTGGGAGGGAAAGCGCGTGGTTCACATAGGGTAAATGTGCAGTACTCCTTGTGCTTCATGCAGGCTTGCAAGGTCAGATTTAGCTATTTAGAAGAGACTCCCCATGTCTGCCTGTGAGATTACAAAATGAGAGAAGCTGCTAACTCTTCCACTTGGTGACAAACTACATCACAACACAGCTCATGCCTATTTGCCATATGTGCATTTTCAGCAATGACAGGCATGTGGAAAACTCCTAAGGAAACGTGGCCCATGCAGACATCCTTGCCTCTAGCCTCCTTCTCTCACTGCCTCCTCCTACTCAGCTACCTGTTGTGGTGCAACTTTTGAAATGGCACCATATGTTATGGATGCAACCTCATGTATATTCTCAGAAACAACAGCATCTGGAAGACTGAAGTTTACTGAGCTTATATGGTATCATTTTGATGGCTTCGTGGTAGTGATAACCATGTAAGTCCTCTCCAATCCAGTTGCCATTCAGCACTTTTTTTTCTCTCTCATACTCTAGTCAGGCTATAAAAGCCAAAGTTCTTCCCTCCCCACCATCCTGCCCAGGACCAAGGGTATAATAAAACCGTATCTAGTTATTTAACACAAAAAGTAGATCTATCCAGCCTGTATCATCTGCGATTTCAGATGTTGTTTTTTCACAGCTCAGTTGAAGAAAAAATGTTTCTTTCTCTCTAAGCCTTTGGAGATGAATATTCTGTAGGTCTCTGTCCATGGCATGTTGGCACTGTGTGATCGCGCTGCATTAGGCATACTTCTGTCCAGATTTTCCCAGACAAAATTCAAGAAGTGCCAAGCAGAGAGGTCCCAAACTGAAGTATATTCACAGCTTGGTACCAAGGGTTTGAACCTATCAATCAAGAGCAGTGGAAGTCCTAAAAATCTTGTAGAAAGGCTTACTTTTTGTGGTTGTCCCTCATTCTTTGAGCTGGTCCTACCACGAGTGTTAATTCTCTGAATCACCCTAAAGAAGATACACTTGGTATTTAGCTGCAGTTCTTCTAACCTCACAAAGTAGGACCTTCTTGAAGGACAGTACATTAAGCAAGGACTTCCACTACCAAGAACTTGAAAATGGTGCCAGCCAAAGGTAATCTTTTATGACTTTTGCAGGGATAATAAGAAGCCCAACACGCCCCAGTACCAATTCTTCTGGGCCACTGCAGTCCTTACTGGCAACTTTCCAACAAACAACCTGTCTAAGAGCAGAACCAAGGTCTTTCGGAGAGGTACGCGATACATGTGGCGTGACTACAAATGCAGTTCAGTTGATTCACTACTAGTATGGGTGCCTAACAAAAATAAATGAATCTTAGTGTGACTCCACATGAGTGGTGTTGACACATTCAATTGTCTGTGCTTCATTTGCTGCAAAACAGTATCTATTTTAGAGAAGCAGTTGATGAGTTTAGCATACACAAAGAGTAGACAGATTTAAAAGATACCGTACTGGAACATTCTATTTTTGAAATTTCACTTTGACAAAACTGCCTCATTAAGAACTTGGGTATGAAAAGATGGAAAATTTTTTTGGATCTCATGCAAAGTAAATTCAGAATTCTGATGAGCTGAATCAGTTCTTTCCATACATTATTTTCCTTTATCTGTGTTTCCCTTTGTTTCTGCATAAAAGATGAAATAAAAAATTATGAAACCTTGGTTTTGATTAATGAGCAAGACACTCCAAACTAAATAAGGCAGAAAGAGGAAGGTAAGTATTTTGAATCCACAGCTAAATTATAATATTTCAGAATGAACTAGCCACAAATGATCATTACATGTTGTGGCCAAAATTGAACAAATGACAGCTTGCTTTTGCATGGAACTCTATCCCGTTGATTGCTTTGATTTTATACAAGCGTTAAAAATACTACAACAGATCCTTTAAGGAAGGGAGGATATTATGTGGAGAAGGGCAGCTATAACCTCCTGAAGGGAGACTGAAGGCAAATTCTCCAACATTCATTGAAAAATACTGTGTTTGAGCTCTGGATTACATGCTAGTGGTTTTGAATGAGTTCCTTAGCCTTCAGGCATATGCAACTATATCAACAACTTAAATTCAGGCAAAAAGCAAATAGCAATGCCTTCTGAAGAAATACTTTTGTTGTTATCTACGGACTATGTTATTAAAATCAATAGTGCATAGTATGTTTCATGCTTAGTGACCGGGTGAGACCGTTTTGGCTCTATTCATTTTCTGTAAGTTTGCTTGGTTTTCCACTCCTCAAAAATAAAATCCCTACCTTATTTACTGTTTCTGCTTATACATCTTTGCATTCTAGCTCAGTATATGAGGTTTGCCACCTGAGTACATAGAAGATTACCAAACGGTCCAAATAACACAGCACTTTTATGAACTATTATTTGTAGTCAAATGCAGGAAGATTGTAATGCATGTTACCTGAGTATTATTGGGGCTTTATATATTTTCTGTTCTAGACAAGGCTAAAATTTGCTGGATACATTTTCTGTTAGCTTTAGTCTTGCTCCTGAACACTTTCTTAACTAAGTTTCATCTCAGATGTTTCTTTAACTTCTAATGTAGTCAGACTGGTTAAAAAACAAAACAAAAAACACTCTACATCTTCCACAGTTAATCAAATTTCAAGCAGAAAAGCACATAGGAAAAAAAAATATTTTTGGTAACAGACCTTTCTTTTCATCTTTTCATTTCTGTGGCACTCTTTAGTCCTGTGGCTTTACTTCCATCTGTCCTACTGCACTGCCTGTTTAAAATGCTAATCTAGCTGCTGTTGCCACAGTATCCAAGTATATCACAATCAATCTATTTATCCTGATGTCTGCAAGATAAGGCACTGCTGCTCTTGTTTATAGAGAGAAGGGTAACACACCTACTTGGGTTGCATTACAAGGGCCTTGCTGACAAATGCTGTGGTATCATGGTTTCTTGATCCAGGACCTGTCACAGTCTCCTTGGCTCCCGCAGAAGCAGCATATGGGCCTGCGCTTGGGTCACACCTCAACAGAAAAAGAAACCTGGACAGGACATTCAGCTGGGACCTGCAAGTTTGAAAGTGCTGCAGATCTCCAGTCGAATATGGGCCTGAAATCTGAATTTAAATCTATACCTCTTGGAGTGCTAGGCAGCAAGCTGTCAGCTGTTCTGAAGGGGTTATGGCTTTCTAGTTGCTCTTGTTTACAGTTTACTTTGAGTAAATAATAGCATGACTGACTATTTGCAGTGTTAAGGAACTCACTTGGGGAAAGGGAGAGCAGAGTTCTAGTCCAAAATTTAACCAGCATTTATCCTAAAACTGGAACAGGGACTGGAAATGAACTATGCCCAGATCCTTGCTTCTAAGTTAGACAGTCACATTCATGATCTAAATTATTTTTTTTCTATTTCTTCCTCCTCCTTTCTCTCTCTCTCCCTCTCAAATGAATTATTTTCTTCCTTTTTCTTACTCCACCTGTCAGTACTGCAGTTTATGCTTAAAACCATTTAAGTAAATTTACATTAAATCTTATTGGCATTAATTAAGACAATTACATAGATGAAGCTAAGCATTTTGGTTGTTTTCTAGCCAAACAGAAAAGGTTTCAAAATGTTATTGGACCAATGCAAAAGTAAAATAAATACTGAAAACATATTTTGTACTGAACAGTGCATTCAGTTCAACCTCAAATGAAATATCTCTGGTTTTCACTTAGATCTTATTTGATTGACTTTTATTAAGTCGTACACAATTTCCAAAGAGAAAAGAATTGTGCTGAAAAGAAAAATGAAAATGTCTTTTGAAAATGTCAGCATTTCAGATCCTACACTACTGGACCTAGGAGAGTGGCTACACAATTGCAGGTGCAGCTCCAGCGGAGATGCATCACTGCAGCCAAAAGGGGGACATTTTGCTCCTCAGCCTTCCTGCTCCACTCCTCCTGCGCCCTCACCCTTTCCACACCTGATCCTTGCTCCTTTCTGGCGCTCTGCTCCTAGGCTCCTCCATCAGCCAACGTATTTCACTGCTATGGCAGGAAGCTGTGAAGGATTTTAATACAGTCTGGCAGGAAACTAACTCACAGATGGGTCTGAGGAGTGCCAGAGACAGCACAGTAATTAGCGTGAATGGAAGGCAGGGGTCAGTGGAAACTTGGAAAGGTGGGACAGGACCTGCCTCTTTTGTCTGTTTTGTTGGCTCGCCACACCTCATGGAATGGCATCTGAAAAGATGCCAATTTGGGGAAAAAAAGTGGTATTTCTGACTACACCAATAGTTCGCCTGGTCAAATTCTTGTTCCTTTGAGCCAGTTGTATTAGAAAATCAAGGATTAGAATTAACACTTCTTCCAAACCTTGTTTCATATTTAACTGCAATATTTCTATGTCTCCTCTCCTATTTGACATTTTCAAATCTCTTCCTCAAGAAATGCAGCCTGTGACCAACCATTCATTCACAAAGCCCGTTGCCACTACGTCTGGGCTCTGCTAACACTTTGAGAACTGCAGTTGCTACGTCTGATGGCAAACACTTTCTTTTCAACTACTGTAAAGTGGGCCCTTGTTATTAATGCAATCTGTATTCAGGATGACATCCCAAATTAAATTTCCTTCTGAACGTATTCATCAAGGGTATATTTCCAGGAAGGAAAGACTATTGCTGCATGCATCTATTACCATTATCTCCAATACCTCTCTCCAACACATACATATTTCTCCCACTGTCTCCTTTCCCCCTGGTGACAAATCAATTCATATGATGGGAAAAGGTCATCCTAGCCCACATGATAAAGCAGAGGCTCTATGTCAAAACCGCAGCTGGGACTGATCCTGTTAGTGCTGTTCCTGTGCACAGCACATGCTGGGGCTGTAAAACAAGTCCAGCTACACCTCACATGAGAGTTCACAGCATAAAAGAGGACTGTTGTGCTGCATGTACAAGAGATAAAGGTCTAGCAGCTGGAAGTCATGAGAAAGGGCTCAGCTGTGTGAGTCCTGTATTAGCAGTCCTGAGGCCATCGCATGTATGTGCAACCACAGGCTTTTCTAGAGATACAGCATTCCAGCCCAGTGGTACCCAGGACATCAGAAAAAAAGGACACTTAAAGACAGAACAAAAATAATGTAGAAGCAAGTGAGTGTCTGAACTGTTCTGGATAGTATGCAGAAAATATTAGCTAATGGGCTGCACTTTCTCAGACTTCCACAGAACAGATTGCTCTTCATCATCATATGCTTTCTGTAAAAAGGAGGTGATTTCTTGGGGAAAAAATGTAATAATTAAGGATTTTATGTTATTTAAGTATTTCCAAATTTATTTTTTAAATCCTGGCTAAGTAGGCAGATTGCTTCCTTGCCAAAAAGGAAGCCATTTGCAAAGGAAGAATATAGGAGACTCAGGACTTAAAAAGCCAACCTTGATAAAGATTTGTGGAAAATCTTTTTATCAGTATTTTTTATATCGAGTAAGTCAGCTACTGGGCATATATGTAACTGTACAGATTGGCTTTTGAAATAATGGGAGCACATCTGTATCTGTACTAGAGCCATTATACCATAGAATAAGTTCTACTTCCACATGAAGTTGTGTCACTAACTTCAGGTGTTTCCTTGAAATACTACCTACTTGAATATTTTTAAATTAGCTTTTGTGAAGAATAATACTGAATAAGTGCAGTGTATAAGTTCAGTAGGAACTCTCTTTGGAAATTAACTCAATGATTAAAGAACCCAACTCCGGTGACACTGCTAAACATGCTAACTGCCATCACTGTTTTACCTGTCCCTGAAACAGGCTTTTAAGTTTTCCACCTCGGCTTTATGCTTCAAGAAATGCCACAGGTGACTAGCACACTCCTGTTTTTTTCCACTTGCAATCTTATCTTGATTTTAGATTTTTTAATTATTGACTTTGTTTTTTTATGTTATTTCTTTTGGCACCCTGAGATCCTTCTAGGTAACTGATCAAACCACTTGTACCCTGTACGGGAAGGTCATGCAATTCTTTATTTGCTGAAATACAATCACAGTGCAAAGCGTTTCTGAAAGAGCTGACTGTTCCCAATCAATCTCTGTTGGTCTTTTGTGCTGACAAAGATTGAACTCCACATATTGTTACGCTCGATTGTAAATCTTACCAATCTTTTCTTCTCTTGACTGAATACACAAACTCAGCTTCACTATAGGAAAGGATAACCCCTGCTTTCAATGGGGCTTTTACACCGTCAGCCCAGGCAAGATGGGCATCTTCTGAGACATTTACAATCTAAAGGAACTTATTGAGCTGTCAACTGCCTTGAGCCAAGGGATCTTTCAGTCAAAGCACAGAAACACACAGCTGATCAGGGTCTGTCTTTCTCTACACTCAGAAATATTCCATTTTATAT